TAAAGTAACTGTTAGAAAAAAGGTTACACACAATGCTATCAACAGAAGGGAGCTGAAAATTAAATGGAAATGATTACCAAAGAACTCATTTCCTTTGCTACTGGGAGGCTAACAACAATAATGAAATAGAATTTAGAAGTGAAAGCTGAGATTCTTCCTTTGATGTCTGAATATTTTTGGTTTATGTTCCTTTTAAAATAAAAGACCACATCATAAATTAAATGTGATACTTAATTTTTATTTTCGCTCCACTCAAGCAGCATGTTTTCCTCTAGGTGTTTATTAAAATAACGATTCAGCTCCCCAGCTGTTGTGCACAGGCAGGTTTTTGTTTAGGCAGAGGAGCAGCACGAGTTGGGTGATCACTGGGTCTCTGGCAGGCAGAATCCAGTTGACTCTTGGAACAGAGATTAAGGTTTTTTTTTTTTTTAGTTCAACATGTGAAAATGCAGAATGAGAAAGAGCTGATGCCCTTGAGCTTAATAGTAACTGAGCATCTCCTATATTTCCTGTGATTGAAACACAGAATGGTTTGGGTTGGAAAGGACCTTAAAGCCCATTTCATTCCACCCCCTGCTATGGCAGGGACACCTTCCACTATCCCAGGCTGCTCCAATCTCCATCCAGCCTGGCCTTGGACACTTCCAGGGATCCAGGGGCAGCCACAGCTTCTCTGGGTACCCTGTGCCAGGGCCTCTCTACTGTCCGAGTAAAAAAAAATATAAATTTTTTAACATCTGATCTAAACCTACCTTCTTTTAGCTTAGAAGTGTTTCCCTTCAAGAGCAAAGACAGTTCTCAAAACACCATAACTACTGAGCTTGGTGTGTCTCATTATCACTGCTTTAGTATGGGAGAAGGGAATGTGGGAATGCAGTGCCTTCTTAATGGTCCCCCTTAATGAGGATGCACCAGGAGGATGGAGGATTTCCTTCATGAAGTTTCTTTAGCAACTGCAGAAAACATGTTGATAACTAATTTTTGATGTTTCTTCTTACAAGACTTGATGGGTTGAGTGCAGGTGCTTGCTGGAGAGTGAACTCCAGGCCTGATTCTGCTGCTTACAGAGAGGTGTCCATGGCTGTTGGGGGTACTTTGGGGAAACAGGGCTGTGGGATAAGTCACAGGTTGTAGGACAGACCCATATTTATCTAAAATCCAAGGTGTCTCAGAGATGCTACCTGACTAAAAGCAAGCAATTAAACTGCATTCCTCTGCTATAGACAGCCTAATTAAAATACTTGAATTGGGACCTGAATCCACATTCAAAGCAGAAACATTTGGATTTCTAGAGGAGATGTCAGAGCAGGAGTGGCAGCTCTGGGCTACCTGGGAGGCCAGACCAGAGACATTCTAGTCTCAGGCTGTCCTATCCTCTGAAATATCCAAAAGTTCTGTGCTTTGGCTACAAAAGAACTCTAGGATGGTACTGATGGCTTTGAGGGAAAACAGCAGAGCTCTAATTGAAACCAATGGATGAAGGGAAGTATTACATAATATTACACCAACCTATATCCCTATTTTCTTCCTTACTTGCCTTTTCTGCGCTTGCTTCACCTTCCACAACTCGATGCTGTTTTTTCTTTTGTTTCACATCTCATCTATTTTTCAATTCTGTCTTTGTGTACATTAATATTGAGGTGATGTAGAAGATAAAGAACTCCAAAGTGCCTGTTACCAACAGTGGAATGGACCCCACTACAGTAGGTAAGTCACTGGGCTGCACCCAGTGCCAGTTACAGAAGAGCTAAAAATACACTTATTTCCTGTATTTCACCTGCTCTGCTTGTGCTGTGATGCACCAGAGATAAAATTTCTGTGTAAGAAAGGAAGGCAGAAAAGCTTCCTGAGCTCTGCACTGAGACTTCTGCTGGCTTCACACCACAAGACACACTTTGAGCCACACACTGATGATCTGGTGGCTGCAGGTGATGTGGCATCCCTGGAGTGAGGGACCAGGTTAGGACCCAGCTGGGATCTCTAATGTGGGTTTTAGATGCCTAAGGTACAAATATAATTTAAAAGGGAAGTGCCAGGACCACTGGCTCCAGGACCCACTCTTTGGAGTTGTGGTGTTGGACCAGGACATTTAGTGACACCTCTGTACTGCAAGAGTGTCTTGAAACAGCTGGGCAAAGTTGTCTTTCCCTTCAGCACAGGCTGCAAAGAGCGTGGTGGGGTGCAGGACAGAGCTTGCTTTTCTCTTCTGGATGCTGAGGAGCTGTGAGACCAAGTCACCTCCTCTTGGAAGTGTTTGCAGGAGTGCTGAAATCAGGGCTGTCATTTACAGGTGACTCCCACTCATCCTGATTTGGTGGATGCCAACAAGTAGGAATTCATACATCCATCAAGTGAGGCAGCAAGGCTGAGGAAGGAGCACTTGGGTGCTGGGGACTCCCAAAACTTGAGTTGAAGCAGGTGGTGCTGGAGGTCAGACCCTGACGTTTGCTGGTCCTGCAGTAGTGCTGTGATCTCGTGGGGCTCCAGAACAGGATTGAGCCTTCAGCAAACAAATAACCAAACCTGTCAAGCCCCATCTACTATGCCATAAAATGAACATTTTATGGGGAGGGGAGACAAAGAAAGGGCAATGGAGGTGCCAGGTTCAGCTAAGGCAGAGGAGCATCTCTGTGGGTACCTGGGCTCCTGCTCATTTCAGTGTGGGTGTTTGGCTTTCAGCCCTCCCTGGCTGTTATCTCTCAATCACTGTCACCACAGGAAAGCATTTGCTGCTTCCCACGTCACTCTTCACACCCCACAGGCACAGCTGGGACACACAGTGAGCACGTTTGTGGTGGCTCATACCCACCTTCCCCCATCTCCCTGCCCCCAGCCTCAATGGGTTTATTGGGTTTTCAAGCTGAAGATGCTTTGCAGAGAGAAGTGGGTGCTTCTTCTTGTGGTTTGCATCAAAAGCTTCACACTAATCCTAATGCTGTGCCTGCTCTTGCAGTTACTCAACGAGTTCCTCCACAAGTCATGCTTGCTTGTGGTTCTATGGGACCACAGCTGGAGTGCAGAGCCCTCCTTCTGATCAGAGAGGTGTTAAAACCTGTTTCTCTTCAGTGACTTAACCACAAGAGGTGAACCAGCACCCTCCTTCCTTAGTCTGTGCTCTTGGGTTGTCCCTGAATTGGTGTCAAGACCAAACTGCTGTGCCTAGAGAACATCCCTAACAATCCTTCAGGGATAATGCCAGTCTTCAAACGCTTAGAAATGCAATCTCTAGTCTGTAGAGTCTGTATCAGGCTGGCCAGACTCTGTCAGAGTCAGGGACACACTCAGGCCCTCACAGGACTTGGCTGACCCAACCTCAGTTGGGTGCCAAAGGAAGATGTCCTAAGTCACCCTCTTTTAACAACGACCTCTGCACATCTCTGCAAACCCCCTGAGATACCAGACCCCATTCAGAGCTGTGTCACCTTCTGGTAGTATACAGGAACATTTCCCTCTCTTCCTGGATTCTTTGTACAGCACCAAATTCTGGTTTAGATATTGCTCTGTGAAGTAGTTACAGTTAAAGTGCTTGCTGCTGCTCTGTATTTACGGGTCGAAATTCCCCTGGGGAACGTTCCCCAGACAGCAGAGAGCTATTTTAATGGCTTTTCTAAGCACCTCTGTTCTTTGTTCCTATTTAATCACTTCAATGCCCATTTCCCAATTGTACACAACATTTTATTAAACTGTACAAACAGCACTGGCATTTAAAAAATTCATGTTAACCATTCTAATTAAACATGATGACCAGCTCCACAAACTGTGAGCACAGCTGCCCTCCCTGCATTTCATACAGCACAAACCAGGATTTCATCAGAATCACTGGACTGAAACCATTCTCAGGGTGTTCTGCTTTTCTTGTTGACTGCAGGCACTTCAGCCCTTGCTCCTGCTGGATTCTGTGCCTGCAGTCACTGCCAGTGATATCCCAGCACTGCCTGCAAGGCTGCCTTCGTCCTGTTGGGGGGTACAAACTGACAGCCTGGACCAGCAGAACCAGGAAAGCACCTCTGAAGGGAGCCCTGAATTCGGGATAACTCACCTTCTAGAGCTTTTCTTCTCCATGGACTGGAGGTTGATGCAACAAAGCTCCAAATGTATGTTCTCCAAACAGATCCCAACACCAGATTGAGTGACTGCCTAAGTCTAAGTTGTTACAAAAATCTTCTTTTTAGGCTCTGACTTGATTCTGACCCAGCTTTTCAGAGGTATCTCAGTGAAAAGCAGTAACTGGTGGTTTCACAAATCTCCAACCTCAGAAAACAGTGCACCTTTATTTATAAGGATCCCATGATGAAAGGATCACAGAAAATACTTTTTTTTTTAACCCACCTACATTCCCATAGACTGCAAAGGGATAGAACACACAGCAAAATGTCACAAGGTGGAGGTGAGGGCCACCCTCACCTGAGGTGCCTCCTGCCCTGTGACCATGGTGTGCAGCTGTGCCAAAGAGCTGGGACATCATTTAGAGAAATAGAAAGTACATCAGCCTTTGTAGGACCAATTAGTACCTTTCAAGTGAAATACCCCAATTCTGTGACTTCAAGGCCACTTTTACAATGCTTAAACAATGATTTGAGGAAATGTTGCACTTTTCTCATGCGGTTTTAGGTTAGAATGTCAGAAAGCCCCATCGAGATCTGGCTCTGAGTCTGGTGTGTGAGCAGATACTTAAAGCTTTAGAACAGGGTTCTAAAAGCATTCTGCATTCTGCAACTTCCCATCCTTCCTGCTCAGGCACTAAGTGTAAACTTCTGGTTTTCTGTACTGATCTTGGCACTTCCTTTGGTAAGGATCCATTGAGATGTGCAGATAATGGAATGGGCACCTGAAAAAAGTCTCTTTATCCCATGGAGAAAAATTGAGCCCTAACACCTGTGAGCAGCAGTTTTAAAGGGCGTAAGGAACAAATTTCTTCTTCAAAGCTGTGCACACTTGCAATTTTGCACATGTACAAGTGGAGGTTACCAAAGCATCCAGCCTGAGTCTTCCCTGATACCTTTGGGCTTTGAGCAAACCACTTTTCCTTCAGAAGAAGATGGGTCTGGGTCAGAGTTGCAGAAAGGGGAACTGACATCACCAGAAGCTCAAATATACTTATTTTTCCTTACAGAGAAATCTGTTGGCTATGTGTACAAGTAGTGGGGAACAGGTTTTGGCACCTCCTCATTTTCAGATGCTCTCAACTTCAAGAACATTGGGAAGAGACAGAAGAGAGACCAAAAGATACCACAAAGAAACTTTATCATCAATGAAGAGTGGGCTGGCATCTGCTATGGACTGGAATAAGTCAGAATAAGTCAGAAGCCTCCAGGCATGGTACAAACTTTCACTGAGGTCCTTTCTTTCTGGAGGGTTCTTGCACAGTCTTCAGTTGACAAAGTGCTACTCAAACCATTACAAAGAATTCCTTCAGTTAGGCAGATCTCAGGAAAATATTTTCTCCATTTTAGGGTTCACAAAAGAGAAGTTGCTGAACATATTTTGGTCCATGCTGTTAATCAGTGCTCTGTCAGCACAGGACAGTCTGGGTTTTTCATTTAGGAATTCCTTGTCGAAGTTGCTACAGTCACTTGGAGATTTCTTCAAGAAAAGGAAAAAAAAATTGATGTCAAACCACTAATAATCAGATCTTTATTATTATGGTAATGGTCCTATCAGGCTGCTTCCTATGGGCTCAGCTCAACCTTTACTTGGGAGCCAGTAAATATAAATATTATAAAGGAGGCACTGAGCCTGTGATCCAGGAATTCTGCCAGGCAGGGATGTTACAGCTTTGTAACATGGCAGACTGAACTCACCAATTGTATAACAGTTGTAGAAGACTGCAAAATGAAAGTATGAAGTGCTTGTCAAATTAAGGTCTATTATTGTTATTAATAGGACTTTAATAATTTATTGAGATTGTTATAAATAGTCAGAATTATTCTGATTTAGCCAAACACCTGTTTCCTGAACTGTTTTACCTTCTCCAATGCAATGAAAGGTAATCCCTTCAGAATGGACTGCAGTTTTGTGGTGAAAGGAAGGTGTTACCCTGCTGCAGTAACTGAGAAAGCAATGAATAATTTATGGTTTCTCAGGTGTGGGAATGCCAGACCTGGGCTTGCAGCCACTGCAAAGGAGTATAGTGAGGATCAGGTCAGACAACCAGTAAAAATGCAGAGTTTAGAAGACCTGAGATGGGTGGAACTGAAAGAAGATCCATCCTTACCACTCTTGGTTTGAAGGGAGGCTCCATCCTTCTCTCTTCTAAAGCTTCCCAGTTGATTTCCCGGAAAAAGGCGTGCTGGCGGATGTTCCCTCTCGCTCCCAGTCTCCTCTCAGGCTCTCTTACAAAAAGCTGGAATGTTGATTCCACAGGTTAAATTCTCTGATGATAATACAGGCATAAAGCAGGGTGGAATGTGTAATTATCCAGAGTCAGTGCAATGAGAAGAGGCCATAATGGAGAAAATGCTGGGAATTTTTTTTCCTAAACGAGGAAGTTTACTGATTGGTATAAAGATGATTACTACCTCCAATCCTGACAGAAGTACAGGCTGTTTGGGCAGAAAGATGGCAGCATGTGCCCCAAAAAGAGATGTTCAACGTCTCAGTCTGGTGTAACCCTTATTTTGAATTATTTTTTCCAGGAATTAATGAGCTCTGCACCTTAGGGACTGCTCTGAGAAGAAATTGATCTCTGCTGGTGTCTGTGAGAAGCCACCATCACAAATCAGGAGAAGGAAGACACAAAAATCTCCACAGGGGAAAGATGTGGTTTGATACCCACAGGAAAAACAGTGACTAAACTAAATCTGTTCCTCTCTACAACAACTGAAGATAAACAAACTGAAGACAATAATTCTGGCAGAAAGACTTTCATTTGATGGGTGGTGATTCTTACCTTCACCAAAATGTCCTTTGCATCCTTGTCCAGCCAGCGAGGGTAGAAGGGGTTATCCATACGGATGGACTGGAAAAGCTCCTCTTCATCTTGGCCATGGAAAGGGGACTGGCCAATGAGCATCTCATACAGGAGGACACCAAAGGACCACCAGTCAACTGAGGTGTTGTACTTCTGCCCCAGCAGTATCTGCCCAGAAAGAAGAGCCACCAAGGCAGAAGGAAAATGTCTGACATGAGTTTTTAACTCCAGGAGGGTGGACAGATCATGGCTTTGCAACTGCAACTCTGCAGTGGGCTATCAGAGGTGCTTCCCCCTGCCTGCAGCAGGAGCCAGAAATCTGCCAGTGGTGCAGGGCCTGTGGCCCCTGGAGCACCAAGGCACAGCCACACATGGGTGCCAAAACAGTCTCTGGCACAACAGACAACAGGCTGCATGTAATTCTTAAGTTACTTGAACAAATCCTTGACTACCAGAGAGATCTCAAATATAAAAGATGAGACAAGTCATCCTTAGCCTGCTCTCCAAGGGTTCAAATCAGGCTTGTTGTCCTAGGTTACAATGTAAAGATGTGCCCAAAAGTATGAATTCTATCACCATCTGTTAAACCAGGTGAGGCAGTCATCTTTATCTCATGGGAGATATTCTCTGTTAATGGGCCATCTGTTAAAACCAGGTGGGGCAGTGTTCTTTATCTTTTCCACAACCCATCCTCCCTCCAGGGAGATATCTTCTGTTAATGGGCCATGGAGTCCCAGTGCATGATTGATAAAATTCCATCATCCCATTGGGAGATGCTCCACCCAGGGGGAGGAGCCAAGCCTTTCCTACCTAGATAAAAACTGAGATTTGGAACATCAGAGCAGCCTTTTTCCACTGATTCCAGAGGACAAGAGCTACCAGACCTTTCTACAGGATCACCACTTCAACAAGATCACTTCATCTGGACTGCTACCACAGCCCTAACTAGCGGGGTGTCAGGTTGTATTCTGACTCTGTCAGTGGTTCTCCTTTGTACTATTGCATGTATTTTATTTTTTTCTTTTTTTTCCCATTAAATTGTATTTCTGACTTGGAGTCTTTCACTGGTTTGGCTTTCAAACCAGCACACTTGTGAAGTCCAAGAAGATAAATGGTCAGGTATTAGCATTTTGGGAATGATTCCAGTGACACTAGCAGAGTTTTAGAATTACAAATGTGGCAGCATAAAGGTACTTTAGGACTATCAGTCACTTAAAACGCTGTGAATCTACCCTAGCAAAATCCTCCCCAGGGAAAACATGAAAGGGGTTGTTGATCTGTCATCTTGAGAACAACCTCAGTCAGTCCCTTGGTTTGTGCCTTTCAGTGTCACCTATAAAATGACATCCAGCGGGAGTGACGACCTCCCCAGGGTATAAAGGACCATCACCAAGTTCTCAAACTTCCTCTCTGGAGAAGCAAAATTAACCTCACCTGCCTTTAGGTATCTGTTGTGAAGATATCTAGAACTGAACCAGTTATCACTGGCTCCTTTTATAGCCAAGGAAGAGAATTTGCCCAATTTTAAACATCCAGATAAATATCCACCTGAATAAAATACAACCCGTTTGTCTCCTTTGGTTCTCAAAGAGCATCAAAATTTGCTGATATACAGATTTTTACATTGAAGATATCTAAAGGTTCACATGATGACTGTGGTGTGTAGGATTCTTATCAGAATTTTAGGGCTGTAGAGGGGAAAATTTAATTTTGAGGCATAATCTTTACTCTTGAGCCTACATCTTGGTTGCAATGGGATGCTCTATACTACATCTGTCTCTAAAAGAGGAGATGCCAAAAGGACAAAAAAGGGATTTGAATACATGATGCAATATAGACAATGAGCTCCACTCAGAGAAAAAAAATCAGCAAGACTCCTTAATATATTTTTTCTGGATCACTTACGAACAAAATCATCCCAACCTTTCTTTCTGAAAACAGAAATTATTTTTATAAGGCTTTATTTTTTAAAGTCTAAAGTATCTAGAAATTGGAATTGAAGTATTCTATGACAGTCAGAAAGAAAAAGGTTTATTTTGTTTGAAATTCTCTGGGAAAAAAAAATAAATTCAGCAATTTAATTTCAGGCTGCCTTTTTTTTTTGTCAGGTATTTTTTGAAGTGAGAAAAAAATTCCTTGTCTACTGACCCAAACCCCCCTTATTTGTATGGCTGTAGCCAAGGTACTGGGTCTGTAACAAATTACAGTGGTAGCAGCTGCAGTGAAATACTGACAGAGTCCAGTGCTCCTGTCTGTGGCAGGAGAGATGATCCATAAACCCTAGAAGTGCTTTCAATTTAGAGGTAAAATGTTTTATATGCACTCACTGAATCCCTAAAATAAACATAGTGCAGAAATAAAACTCGGAGCTATTTCAGTTTTTCTCTTTTCTATAAAACAAAATCACAGATAATGGATCAACATTTGTCTTTTTGGGTTTTTTTAGGAGCAAAAAATAGCATTTTTTTTCCTTAAATAAAAGCAAATTGAAGTGGAATAAAAGACAATTGCAGCTTGATTGCAGAGCACACTTACACCCATTCTTAGGCAACAGAAATCCAATTGATTTAAAGAGACCCTTGAGCCAACAGTGGTGTAACCTCAGCCAGAATCGAGCCCTTGTGCACATTGAAGGACCAATGAATTATAGTAGAGGAAAAAAAACCCTAAAGGCTTTGACAGCTCTTTGGAAAGTACCAATATCCATCATAAAAACACTAAAATTACAAAAGAGAATCCTGAAAGGCAAATAAATGGATTTCAGACTGATGTCAGACATGATGCATGGATGACTTGTAGGTTTTTCTCTGAGCTAAAAAATATTTTCTTTGGCCACCTAATTAGTCAAAGCCTCTCCATAGTAAGATCTATCACTGTGTGAAGTCATCAGGTTAAAGGAAACTTTTTCTTTTCTGGAGGGATCTAGTTCAAAACACCTAAATTTTCTGGGGGAAAAGAAAGTTTCTGTCTGGTTAAAAATTGAAAGAAATAAGGGAAAGGGCACAGTCAGCATTCCTCATGCTGTGTCTGTCCTTCAATTGCAGGACCTCTTGGAATTTCTTTTGCCATGGCCCAAAAAGAATTTCCATTAAGCATGCTCCTTCCTGGTTTAAGCCAAGTTCCACTTGCACCAAAAAATGAATTAGCCACAAAAACAAGCAATGCCAAACGGCAACACAGACTGAGCCACACTGAAATCCAGTTTCTGGCCTAGAACTGCTCCAAGCCAGGTTATTACTCTTTGAAACCTCCACCACTGCACAACAGTCGTGTTTGAAGATGTGATTCCTGTCCCACAGCACTTGTTGACCTCCCACACCTACCTCAGGGGCAATATAGTCAGGAGTCCCACAGAAAGTGCTGGTCTTGGCATCTCCAAACATGTTCTCCTTGCACATCCCAAAGTCAGCAATCTTGATGTGCCCCTCATTGTCCAAGAGGACATTGTCCAGCTTCAAGTCTCTGTGGAGGAAGAGAGGAAAAGCCCATTCTTCAAAGTGTAAAGCACAGTGTAAAGTTATTTTAGCAGGTTACACTTATTACACTTGTTCTCTGCCTCTGTGTAGTGCCCACATGCTGGAAATACAAAGGAAGGTTGAGGATTAAATGAAGAACTGCTCTCTTGGGCTTCAGGATCCCTCTTCCATATTTCTCTTGTCCCAGCACTGATTTATCTGCTGGAGAAGACAAAATCATGAAATCACAGAATGGTTTGACTTGGAAAGGACCTTAAAGATCACCCAATTACCATCCCCTCCCACAGGCAGGGACACCTTCCACTAGACCAGGGTGCTCCAAATCACATCTAGCCTGGCCTTCAACACTTCAGGGATCACATCACCCAAGACTTCTTCTAAAAGCTGTTTCCTTCAAGGATGCAGAACAGTGAAGCTAAGAAGGGTTTTGTGAAGCCAGCTGATGCTTCTGCCCTAACACAGCCTGGAGAATGAGAGCAGGTAATTGTCACTCTCTCCTCCCCTAGGAATCTCAGTATTCTCTCTGAAGCTGCTGCCAGATCTCCCTCGTGGTGCAGGCTCTACAAGTGTCACAAGAAGCGAGGAGCCACAAGCCCTGCAGAGGGTCAGAATAATCCCAGACATCAGCAGAGCCCCACCACTGCTGGGCTGCACCACCTGAATCCCAGGATTTACCAAGCCTTTCACACTCAGCTGCCAGGCTGCTGTCTGAGTTTTCAGGTTTTGAGCCACTCTGGAAAGCAAAGAGCCCAGAGAGAAGAAGAAAACAGAAATACACAGAGAAGGAAATAAAAGCAAACAAGCTGATGAATCATGACCATTGGTGGAGAACAAAGAGATCCTCAAGTGGCAATGAAACCTGAAAGGAAAGAAAACCTTGTAAAGAAGAAAGAAAAAGGCAGAAAGAAATGAAAGCATGGTTTCTATGTTAATTTTCTTAAATCTTACCTAAAGGTTTTGTTTTTATTTGAGATAAGGACCTAGGTAAAATGCTTGGATCAGTGATGCTGCCCTTAACCAGGGATGTGGGTAGAATTTGGGTCACCTGGTCTATGAGCACACACATTACTGCACTGCCTGATTTGTGCCATCAATCACTGCTCCTTCTCAGGGCTCCCAGAGCACCCAGACACATTTGCTTGTACCCACAGCTGAGGTATAACTGTAACTTTTCACACTAATTCACAGCATACACATATTTTGGCCAAAAGGCCAAGTTGGATGGGGCCTAATCCAGTGGATGGCATCCCTGCTCATGGGCTGGAACTGGGTGATCTTCAAGGTTCCTTCCAACCCAAACCACTCTGTGAATCTGTGATTCTGTGATTTTCCACATCTCAGGCAAAAGGTCTAACCATGTGTCTTGGGTTACAATACAGGATGTGACCAGGGGTGTGTATTCTATCACCATCTCTTAAAGGAGGGGCAGTGTTCTTTATCTTTTCCACAACCCATCCTCCCTCCAGGAGATATCTCCTGTTAATGGGTCATTGAGTCCCACTGCATGGCTGATAAAATTCCATCATCCCATTGGGAGATGCTCCACCCAGGGGGAGGAGCCAAGCCTTTCCTACCTAGATAAAATCTGAGATCTGGAACATCAGAGCAGCCTTTTTCCACTGATTCCAGAGGAAAACCAGACTCTTCCACATAATCACTGGAACTTCAGAGGAAAACTGCTCCTTCTACAGGAGCACTGCTTCAACAGAACCACATCTGTCACTGCAGGAGGATGCAGCCACCATGGAATGGGACTGCTGCCAACACCCTGACTGACTGACGGGGGGGTCAGCCTGGATTCTGACTCTGTCAGTGTTTTGAAAAAAAATGTTATTCCTATTTCCATATCTTTGCCTGAGAGCCCCTTAATTTCAAAATTGTAACAATTTGGAGGGAAGGGGTTTACATTTTCCATTTCAAGACAGGCTTCTGCCTTCCTTAGCAGACACCTGTCTTTCAAACCAAGACACCACGGGGCTATTGCACAGACACCCTCCTGCTGACAACTGATTTACAATATGGGTATTTTTTCAGAAATGTTTCTCAAAGAAGGTAATTTCTAATGCTTGATATTCCTGGGATGATGGCCTGCAATTGCAGGGAAGATGATTCTTCAGCCCCCCTCTGTGCAAAGCTCCTTGTCTTGCTTGGGCCAGGTCATCATCAGGGTAGGGTACATTGTGGTGTTTACACACCAAATTGTTGTCACGGGGCAGTTGTTCACTGCTGCAAGAATATGGCCCAAGACAAAATGGGCGTCATCAGTCAAAGAGAAATACAGAGAAAACTGAGACATTTGCCTTCCAAGTGGCAGACACTCACGTTGTCACAATTTCCAGCTGGAATGGCTTATTTTAGATACAACGTTGAGATCAATCTCGGGCTGCCAGCACTGCTTTTATTCATCTGGTAGATCGAAGCAAAACAAAAAAACCTATCACCTACAATTCACTTTCATTATTTTGATGAGTCTCAAACTCATTGGCTCCAGGGACTGGAGTTTCTGCCAAAAAATGCCTCAGCTCATTCGTTAAAATTTAAGCCAATGTTTCCAAACGTCGGTGCATGAGACAGAACAGCTGGATTCATTATTCTTACGACATTGCAAGAGATGTAGTTTCAAAAGTTATTTCTATTCACTTTCCTAAATGCTTAGTTTGCTCTGACAGAGATACTGATGACTCTGTGTTCTCAGCTGACCTCGTTGTCATTGTCTTCAGTGAAAAAGGGAAAAGAGAGTAGGACTGGTTAAACCTTTTCTCTCAACGCTTGATACTCAAAGCAATATCACCAACTCCTGGGAATGAGATATGTCTTCCTATCCACATGCTACCCAGTGCCCAGATGTGCCAGTTTTCCCTCAGTTCCCAAGGTTCCATACTCTAAACACTCCTGTCCTTTCAGGAGGAAATGGGTCCCCAAACCCCAACAGAGCACTGGCACAGTGATTCCAAGTAAAAATGTGAATTATAAATAAAATGTCATCATTAGCAGTCCTGCCATAAAGTCACCATGTCCTGCAGATATTTTAATCAGATTTTTTGAGATGACTGGCTAAAGATAACAGACGTGGCCAAGTGATTTGGGCACTTCAAAAATTTTTCTCTTCACTCATGGAGAATAATAGAGCCAGAAAAGTTGCTGAGGCCTCAGAGATCATCTTAGCTTAATGCCACTGATATTGATCTCATGTTTATGCAATCACCATCATCAGTCAATAAAGACTATAAATGGCTCCCACATGAGTACTAATAAGAATCAAAGCTTGTGTTTTAAAGGGAGAATGGATTGTGAGCAAGTCATCCACTTTCAGCATTTGCTCTAATGTTCACACTACATGGCAAACACTGAAATAAGCTCACTTTGGGTTCAGTAAACATCATTGCTGTAGGGAGCTTTTTCATTTATTTGTGACAAGTTATTTGTTTTCTGCTTTTAAAGAAGGCTGCAATGTAGTAACTGAATTTTGCCGTGAAGCTGAGCTTAACCAGAGCTCCCCAGAAATTCAGTTCCTCCTTTTGGCCATGGGAAATCAGACTATGACCTAATTTCTGGTAGTACTAGGCACTTCCCATACACATTTTAACACAGGCATGATGAACCTAAAAATGTCCTCTGCTCTCTGCTTACTACAAGAAGAACTTAACAGACAACTCAGATTCATGATGGTGAGATGAATCCCATCTCCCCATTTTGCACAGAATTAATCCAAAATTAAGATATATCATTGTTGCCCTGCTTTTGTTACTTGAATTGAGCTTGTCACCGCTGTCCCAAGGTAACCAGAACAGCAGATGTACCAAATTTCTTGTGTCTGACTTAACCTTAATATACCTTGATATGTTGAAAGCTTAAACAAGGTGCCTATACTGGATGCTGTGTGAATGACTCTGTGTAAATGCATCCAAGGGTTTGTTTTAATGTTAACTGAAATAGGTCTGGGGTCTGAAAGGATGAAAACTGCCTTTTCTACACTCTCTCTTTAAAATAAAACACTCAAACTCTGTAAAAGGGAAACCTGCAGAAAAATGCCAGTAAGCACAGCCAAGAAACAGCCTCTCTGTTGCCATTGGTGCTTGCAGGGAAAAGCAGAAAAGCATTTAGAATTTAGCATATTAATTACACTAAAAAGTAAAATTACCTGTATATTATGCCCTTGGAATGGAGGAACTGGAGCCCACAAATTATTTCAGCAGCATAAAACCTGAATGACAGAAGGCACAGGTTAGAACAGGAACTTTCCAAAGGTTTTTTCAACTAGACCCAAAAAGATGGAAGACTTGTCTCCACAAGAGCAAAACTTTCCTTAGGTTCCCAGAAGGTTTGGAGTGTCTCCAGAAGGCTTGAGGTGACTGTGTTTGACTGATGGGTGACGTGAGATTCCCAAAAGCAGGTGGGAATCTGGGATGGGGAGCACAGACAGACTCCCTGGCTTGTCAAACTGCCTTCTTCCCTGCCCAGATTTATGACTTGCTTTTCAAAGACTCCTGGAATTCTGAAATTATTTAGGCTGGAAAACCCCTCTAACATCGAGTCCAACCATTAACCCAGCACTGCCAAAGCTACCACTAAACCACATCCCCAAGTGCCACATCCACATTTCCTGAACACTTACAGGGACAGCATTTCCACCCCTTCCCTGGACAGCCTCTTCCAATGACTGACCACACTTTCAGTGAAGAAACTTTTTTTCTCATTTTGAAAGCCTATCCATAATACGGGCTATCCAGCAAGTTGGTGCCCTTTCTCTGGAGTTTTTTGGAGCTTGAAGTCATTGTTCTCAGCACATTTTTACCCAAAGGACACCACCACATCCTGCTGGAAAGAGGCAGCATCAGTGTGAAGAATGAAAGTGCTGTCCCAGAAGGGAAGGAAACCAGAGGATTATAATCCTCTCCAGTCTTCAATGCATTGGCCCTTAATTCTGGACATTCAAATGCATTTGAAAAAAAAAAATCATCAAATACTGATTTAAATGACAGTGTGGATTTTTTATTATTAAATTATTAAATAAAAGTAATTCCTGTAGTGGTTTCAATATTGACTTTCAAAATACCTTTTGCTTGCAGAAGGATCAAAAGCACCTTCCATTTATTCTAATTCTTCTATTTACTTTAATCAAAGCTAAATACATTTTTAATTCTCTGCTGTATATTAATTTTTTGTTTAAATTTACCTTTTGTGCTTTTGATAGGTTTTCACCCCACCCCCTTGAACTTTAAGGGGAAAAAAGAGAAGATCCCATTACTTCTAACAAACAACAGCTTCACCTCTGACCACTGGGCTGGCAACCTCAGCTTAAGCTGGTCCTGCAGCTTGGCTACAGAGTGTTGTAAAGAAGCAAGATCATGTCTGAGTGAAACCAACTGTGTGGATGGAGTTTAAGTCTTCTGTGGGAGGGGAAAGAGGATGGGAAATGACTCACTCCAAGCCCTTCACTGGGAGGATGACCTGTATGGTTTTGTTGAATTTGGAGACAGCTGGGATAGAGAGGGACTCGGCTTCCAGCACAAGCATCATCCTCACTTTGCAGCTGGGCAAGGTGAAGAGAGGTCAAATAATCTGCCCAGCATTTCCTCTACAGTGCTGGGAATAAAATCAAGCGCCCAGTTTGCTCCTCTCTCGTGTGCACCCTGCAGGCCCAAAGGCAATGATAAATATCTTACGTTGCTCTGGGAAGGTCAAATTTATGGCAGCTCTGGATATGGAACATGAGGTCTCCTCCATTGAGGTATTCCATCACAAAAAAGAGGTTTTCCTAGAAAAGGAGACAAGGTGAGAATAAATAAGGGGTTGTGAAGAGCAAAGTAAAAGTTTAAATATTAAAAAAAAAAAATTAAACCGCTCAGAAAGCACTCAAAAAGAGGAAGGAAAGTATTACTGTGAAAGTTTGGAAAGAAAGCAGCTTCTTTTTTAGATTCCTCATTTCTTCTCTTGGTTCCCTAAGCCCATACTCACACTCCCTGCTCTGATTTCTATAAACACCATTAGCAAACACTGCAAAACCACCTCATAACCAGCTGGGGCTGTTGGTTTTTACCAGCAGAGCTCCAGGCTCACAGAAAGGGGTCAGTAACTTTACAGTGCCTGTATAGCAGAAGGACAGATTGCCAAGCTTCTCAGGGAACTAGAGGAAAAGGCAAAAATCACCCCCAGCTCTCCCCTGGTCCCCATCCCAGTACAGTATCCATCCCAGTGCAGTATCCATCCAGTGGTGTGACTTCAAGCTGGTGTCACCTGCATTCCTGCACAGCTTCTGTGGAGGCACCTGGGTCTGACTTTTTCAAGTTATCAGAGATGCCGACCAGACACAGCAATTTGTTTTAAGCACATGCTTGATTTTAAGCCTGAAAGCTGCTCTATGTAACTTGCTGGTGGGGAAAGTAATGAATTAATCATATTTCTAGACACCCCTTGAGCACTTGCATGCCTGAGAAGGCTGGAAAAAGCAGAATTCTTGTCCTCAGTTGCATGCAACCATCAGTTGTTCGATCAGGGCAGATGAAAAACTCTCCTCCTGGTACAGAAATGATGGAATCTCTCTCTGTATAATGTGCAGAACTGATCACTGAGGTTTCTTTTCCAATTCTTGACACATAATCATGGAATCACAGAATGGTTTGGGTTACAAGGGACCTTAAAGACCCCTAAAGTTCCAACCCTTTGCCATGGGCAGGGACACCTCCCACTAGACCAGGTTGCTCATGTACATGACTCTGATCCTCTCACAGCTTTATCAGCCAAATTTCACCACCAGAACCCTGCAGAAGCTGGTTTAGATTGATTCCTTCCACACTGAATTGTCTCTACAAAGCAGAAAGGACACCTTTTTATGGAGGAAAAGGATCTGCACACTGAGTTATGGCCCTAGTTTAAACTTCTGTTTTGGGAATCTCACCTTTTGTGTATAAATGCAGGAATAAAAAAAAAATTGATGCAGTATTTTTTTCCCCTCAAAAGCCTGACACACTGAAGTCAGTCATCTCTAGGCTATGCTATAAAGTTTATGAGTATCTTCCTTGTGTTGCCTATTGCCCATTAAACTTTTTCTGGGGGTTGGAAATAGGGTTATTTTCACTTATATTTTTAACAGTTGAAGGTTTTTATCCATAAGAGCTAACATAAGTATCTCTGGCAGTAAGCCAAGAGCTGGCTATGTTAAAAAATCACAAAAGTGCTTGTTCCTTTCAAACAACAGCTGTCTGCTCTAATTTGTGCAATTTCTTTAGCCAGATCCTCTTAATTACAGCACTCTTATTTAAATGGACTCACTGGAAACCCCACCTGTCATCCAACAAGCTCAAAGCCAGATCTGGCCTCCTGGGGAAAGAATACAAATTCCATCACTAAACCGAACGGGTGCAGGTTTTCTGTGTTTCTTGCATCTGCAGGGGGTTGTGCACATAAATGAGTTCCAGCAAGTAAAAAGGCCAAAGGAAAGTGGGAAATTTAGTGAAGAAAAGTATAAGTCTTGGAAGCAACATGAGCTCAGGAGCTCATTCAGGAAAATACTTGAACAGATGCTCTTTGGGAAGGTCCACAGGGAGGTGATGGGGTTTAGCCAACAACACACCAGCAACCACATGTGTCCTGCTAGGACTGAAGAAACCTCATGGCTCCTGAAATGGGCCAGACTCAGCTTTAGTGGGCTGGGAAGGAGAAAACCCCTCAGTTCCCCTGTAAAATCCACTGATTTTGGCTATACTTTGTTACACATCTCTAACTGCAATTTGAAATCCATGTTTATCCAGTAGAATCAGCAGTCATGCTCTGCTTGTTCTTGGTTTTGAGCAAGCATCTGATGTTCCTGTTTAACTGAACCCAGACACTCTGACTTGAAACTGGGGACTCTGGCAGCATTCTTGGGGGAAGAGAAGGTGGAGCAATCCCTCAGATTAATTCACATCCACATATACAAACCCTGTTGCTCAACTGCCTTAAACTATGAAGCTCGAGAATACAAACTTAGGAATGTTTAGTACTGAAGTTTATGATACATCAGGTGCTACAGAGTGGTACATAAACCCTATTGAAAAGACAGACAGGATCACTCTTTCCTGCTCTGGGGCTTGGAAGTCCCCCTTGCTTCTTAAGAAGTGCAGATGTCTGGAATAGCTCGTGGAGCAGAACTGGCTGAGATCAGCCCTACATCATTATGAGTGATGAGGTGTAACCAAGAAGGGCAAAAGTGCAACAACTTACTGTGGTCAGCTTCCTAGGTCTGAGATCTACAGAGCCACGGAACACATTAAATATGGGAAGTGGCAAAACCCATTCTTGAAACCTCTGAAAATTCAAGAGAGGGCTAGAGGTCAAAGGGTCAGAGTAGCGCAGAGGATGTTCCTGCAGACAGGCTCCAGCTTCGCTTCCTCTTGTCCTGGGAAAGTCAACTGATGGTTCCTGCCTGCTGCTGAGAGGCTCTGGAGTCTGTCAGCACATGGAGCAGGCAAGGGAGGTTAAGGGAAGTTGGACTAGATGACCTTTAAAGGTCTTTTCTAACCCAAACCATTCTCTAATCCTGAAGGCTCTGCCATACCCTTATCTCCTGCAATGCTCCTGCCTGTTGAGCAAAGAAGCAGGAATGTTGTTCCTCAGTGGTGAGACCCACACAGCTCTGCAGGAGGCTTAGAAAGAGTGCCCTGCCCCTCTGCCCTGCAGGCAGGTGACAGACAACTTGCTGAGCACCTGTGGGTGCTAGAAAATGCTCAAGCCAAACTTGAAGACACTCAAACTTTCTGGACCCACACAACAGAAAATGTTTGGTCTCGTGGCAGATCTCAGGACCATCTTTTGCAACCACAGAGCTCAAGGAGGACTGTAAAGGCCCTTCCTGCACTCAGGGATGGACACTGCACCAGGGCAGTTGTAAAATCATAGAAATTCTGCATTGGAAGGGACCAACAAGGATCATCAAAGTCCAGCTCCTGGCCCTGCACAGGACACCCCTGAGAATCACACCACGAGCCTGAGAGCATTGTCCAAACACTTCCTGATGTATTTGACACCAGTTGTCTTAAGGATATCCATGTATCAGCCATTCCCTACTTCTAGACCATCTTCCAGGGGGTTTCCCCATTGCAGCACTGGGAATAGGACAAACCCTTTTGTGGGAGGGTGAAGTGCTGTTCCTACAGCAGGCAGAGCTCTGCAACTCCAGCTTGTACAACACAGACATGGCAGCTGTGTCCTGCACCAAGTAACACAGTTCCTGTACACAAAATAACACTGTTCCTGCCAGGTGCTGAAAGCCTGGATTACTGCAAGGACTCAATTTCCTGCCCTCTCAATCCCTCAGTGCCCGTGCTGAGCTGAGCTCCTCCCCACAGAGCCACCAGCTCCCTCTGCCTCTCCAGGACATGGCAGGGAAGGAGTTAAACCAACCTGCTCCTGCTCTGCTGTGACTGCTGGGAGAATGAATAGTCACTATCAGAGATGCTTTCAACTTTATAAACAATGAGTATAAAGCAGGCAGCATTTAAATTGATCTTCTGAAGGTACATTCTTTAACAGGCTTTTAAAATCCTTTAACCAGCTGGAAGCCCTCCAGAGCATTTTTCTGCAGAGATTTTCAGATTTTCTTTTCTTTGCATTTTGAAAACGCTTGCATACATATAAATACACAATTTAACACCATTTACTGAGGAGCAAAAATTCTTCTTCCCAGGGCTTCCAGGAGGATGAATGTCAGAATAATTAATACTGCAGGACAGTGTGGCTTTACCTGTGTTTAGAGCAGTTACCCTAACAAATGCTCCAAAAGGCTCCAGATTAAGTGACCTAATCCTGCTGCATTCCCCTTGAATTAGGCTGTCCCTGGCCAAGAGAAAGGCTGGACATGATGCAATTCCTGCAGCTGATTCTGGTCTCACGTTTTCATGCAGCTCAGCACAGTCTGGGTGCTGATCCACACTTTGGATCTATTTTGTTTCATGGGACAGTTGGCAGCCAAAAGCTTCTCAGCCTTTTCCATCACAATCCCATGCAATCCCATCAGAGCATCCCATCCAGTGGGAAAGAGGGCAATGCAGTCCTTACTGTGTCTGCTGTCACAGGGGACAGTTAGCACAGGGTTACTCCTTGCTAGGAGGTGACTACAGGCGTTCACCTGCACTGGAACTTGCACCAGAGCAATCCAAGCTTTAATTCTGTTCCCTAGTTTAAATTCTTGTTCTCTTTTCCCTCTCCTCTTGTGCAATATCAGCCTATTTTCTGGAGATGGCAGCATTTCTTACAGCTGCCCAATATTCCAGTCCAGTCCCTGCTCTGTTTATTCCTTGTTCTAATCCTTGCACTGTCAGCATTTCTAGCTGTGTGTTAAACTGCTCATTTGGGATGCTCAGCATGGTGTGCCCATTGGCACAAAGCATAGGAATATATTTATACACATAAACAAAATATATTTGCAGAGATAAAGGTGAAGACATGGCTTCCACTTGAGCTCTGAGATCCCAAGATCTTTACTCACACTCAGAGCAGAGAGTCCATCACTTACTGATAAACTGAGGCACTATCAGCCCATGTCTTCCAAGAGGAAGTGGTTTTCCCTATCAGTGTCCAACAGAATTTTGGAGAGAGATTAATTTTCTCAAGGCTAGAGAAAGATTTGTCTGAAGTTCTGAAGATTATAAATAAATAGATAAATAAATACATCACCAGACCAAAAACTAAACAAAACGTAGCCAAATTCCTGAAACACAAATATTTTAGCAGTTGAAAAACAAAACCAAACAAAAAAAGTTTTTATTTTAGGAAGTTGTTTCTTTTTTTCAGGATAAAGTGCAGCTAGACTGTAGAATTTTAGAAATCTCAAGCAAAGCTAAATGCATTTTGGGCTGATTTTCCTGAGGCTGGACAATGGGAAGGCAATGACAAAATGTGTATTGAATATGGCAATCATCTATCACCTAAAAAACCCCACTTGTGAGCTCTTTTCTTGGCCAATGCCTTCCCTCTGTTCACACCACATGGGCTGACACCACCTAAAAGTGTCTCACAAAAACTTTATATACTTGATGTTATAATTACAGCTGCTCACACTTCCTCTGGCACCACCCTGCAGAAATCCCAAAGCTCTGCTGAGATGCTGCTATTTCTGCTAAACAATGTTGAATTTTTGGCCAGGATTGAACAAGACTTTGCCAGTTTTCCTGCCTGTTGGTTGCAAGAGGCAAAATCCTCAAAGTTTTCCTAACCTTTCCCATCAGCTGCTTCAAATTTGGCCTCGAATCAGATTTTTTTTCCAAGCTCAAAGTACTCAAAATACTACAAGGGTGGACAGATGTTTCCAAGCTGATGTGTCACCCCAAGAACAAGGGGGAGGGTGGAGCTAGGGCTGTTCAGGAGGTCCATGGCAGTGGAGCTGAGCATCCAAAAGGTGTGAAATGCCCTCATGCCACCCCCATGCTCTGATCCAGGGCACAGAAATCAGCCCTGCCTCTCAATAGCCAGTTAGAGAGAGATGAAAACTGAAATTGTGCTCAGAAAAGAAATAATTTCAGGAATTGAAGTAACCCCTGAGGATATATTTTAATGAGAAATTTGAAAATACTCATGGAAAACAGCCTAAGAATTTTCAAATCAGGACCACACTCTTGTTTTACAATTCTTTTCTCTTTCCTGCCAGTGTAAGAGATTTTTCAGTCAGTATTAAACACATGAAGGCAGCAGAGCATGTGAAAAAGGCTCACTACCAGGAGAAAACATATAATACAACAGTAAAGCAGAAAATAAACATTTCTGTAATGTTTTCTTTTAAATTGCAGTAAAGATTACTTCTCTTTTGGGTTGAGATAGTCTTCTCTGTTGCTATTTTGTGCTGCAAGTCAAACTGCCTCAAGATTTAATTTGCATTTAGGTAAAGGGTGTTAATAAAACTTGGTCAATGAAGTAAAGAAACAGAAATAAAAATGACTTTCAAAAAGGGAAAGCCTATTTTTATGGCAGAAGATCAGTGAAATGCAAAAAAGAATAAAACATAAGCTCTGGGATGCTAGTCACTGTTTTGGCATTGCTGATTTTGGGATTTCACAGAATTATAAACACATTTTTCCTCCTTTTTAACATAACAGCGTCCCTTTAAATCCAATACAGCAGAATAGCTCTCAGAGCTTATTGCTAAAACTCACACTATGTAATTATGTCAGCTGAATATCTGGATACAAAGATGACTGCAGTAAAATAAAACAGAAAAATTCAAAAAGAGGTTGGACCAAAAAACTCAAACACTATGGGCTTGCATTTATTCTCATACAATAAAACAAGAAAAGTATTCTGAATTTTGAAAGCATTGATCATTCAGAGTCCACTGGAATAGAGAGGGGCAGTAAGTGTCTGGTGCCATCTAAAACCTGTCTGAAGGGCTATCCAGCTTCATATAATTGAGCAGTCACTCATCACCTGGGTGGAGATGAGGAATAAACTCATCCCAGAGCTCAGAAAACTGTCAGCAGATGAAAGGACTTTTTTCCCCCCTCTGGAAACATGAGGGCTACTGAGGTCCTTGTGTTGGTGTAGGAATATTCCTGTTTTTACTGTCCTTTGCAGAGACATTCAGCACCTGGAGCAGCTCAGGTAAGCCAAAGCATGAGGGATTCAGAAAGGCAATGGCACATATGTTTCTGTTTGAAACTACTTATCCATCCAGTGACACTTCAAGAAACAAAAAAATGTCATATTTTCAATATTAAAATCCACAGAGGGACTCTACACAGCGGTGCCATGGCTTCTGTCCATGGCAGGGGGGTTGGAAATAGGTGATCTTTAAATTCTTTTCCAACCCAAACCATTCCATGATCCTGAAATGATTGCCATAAAGGACATTCTGACAACCACACTGTCCTTTGAGCTGTGAAAAACCATCCAAGGTTGTCACAGCTCCCCTGCTCTGGGTGACTTCCCTGCACTGAGTGATCACTGCTGGCGTGCAAAGGTCAGAGCAGAAAAAACAGGAGCTGAAAATCAATCAGAGCCCAGAGCAGCTTTGGCCTGGGCAGCCCCATTCCAGCTTCTCTCTCTGTGAAGCCAAGATGGGGAGATCCCACAGCTCTAAGGTGGCAGTGATGGCTTGGGATGAGATGGATGGGGATTCTCTCTCCATGACAGGAGGGCAATTCTGTGCTGCTGCCCAGAAGTGTAGAAAAAAAATCATCTGGCTTTTCCAGCCTGGAACCCGTGAATTTTTCAGGCACTCACTGCTTTTCTATCTTTCGGGTTTTCCATGGCTGGAAGCACCCCTGAAACAGGCAGTAAATCCCACCTGGATCCTGACACAACTCCTTTTGGTCTCTCCTCTTTTTGCTGTGGTCTCATGAGGGAAAGGGACACTGCACTGCCTGAACCCAGAGCCACAGAATGTCCCTGCTGTATCATTCTGAACCTGACCTACAGCTTCCAGACCAGGCTGGAGCACAGACAGCATGGATCTCCTGCTGGCTTCAGCCAGCATCCCTCTGCAGATACAGGCAGCATTCCCTGGAGTAAAAGCTCCCTCACAGAGCTGTGGCTGTTGTGAATGTTTTATCTCTTCAATTAAATATTGATTTTCTTTGCTTTTGGAGTTGTGGTATTTATATTTTCCTCTGAAAACCAGCCCCTTTCAAGTAGGAAGTTAATTCCTTTCCTTGCCAGGCAAGGGCCCATTCCCTGGACACATCATCCTCACTGTCAGTCCCAAAGGGGTTAAAAGTGAATGCCTGGACTCAGTGTCACATCACCTGCAACAGTTCCCAGATGTTCCCTTTTATAAATTTAACCTGGTGCCACATCCCACAGATGACTGGGATGTACCACAGAGGTTGTATTTGTTTCTTCTGACCCTGCAGAAGAACCTCCCACTGAGCAGGTCCTAACCTTACACTGAGCCTTGTGCCACTAAATCCTGGGGCTGAGCAGGGACTGGGAGCATCCTAACAAAAGCCTGAACAAGCAGCCATGAGACAGTGCTGCTGTGAATTTGAGCCAAGAGATAGCAATCATCTCTCAGGAATGGTTTGTGTAGGTTGGACAGAGAAGACAAACTCTCAAACTTCCATTGTTCCTTTCCACGCCTTTTGTGTGCTTTGGTGTAAAGGCTATTGGTTGTGGCTCAGGGAAGCTAAGCACTTGGTGGTTGTTGACATGTAGGGCCATGAGAATATGTTTATTATTTAAATGCCACTTCAGTTTTGGTTTGGAGTCACAAGTGAGATTTCAGGTGGTGCTCTGGGCTGCTCCTCTGAACTGCAGAACCACCAGTGTCTGATGACATTGAACAGTAACTGGGGGCAAAGAAGTGAATGACAGCATGTTTATCCTCCAAAACCAGGGTTTCTTGAGTTGGCTTTGATCCAGGCCAGCTGCAGCACAATGCTTTGTGCTCCAAGAGGTTCAGATAACACATCAGCGTGGGCATATCCTTACCCTGGGTGTGGCCTTTGCACATCCTTGGCCAGGGTACCAGGTTGCAGATTTTAACAGCAGATTTTACCTCAATGAATCTTGGATTCCATAATCCTCAAATACACCATCCCATCCCCAGACTGACGTGAGGGAAAGTAGATTAAATTTCTGGAGCCATTTCCCGAGTGCTTAATCTGAAGATCCCTTCCCTCAGCACCACTTCATGTCCCAAGTGGACCCCAACAGGCTGAAGCCCTTCACCAAGCATCTGTATTTCAGTAAAGCATTCTCAGCCTGTGGAAGAAAGCAGATCCTTGTCTTACCTTGGTCTGGAACGTGCAGAAGACATGAGTGAGGAATGGGTGCTCCCAAGCCAAGGAGAGGACTCTCTTCTCCACCATCGTACACTCAACGTCATCATCCATCAGCACCACATCCTTCTTCAGGGCTTTCACAGCAAAGTACTGGTCTGTGCTCTTCAGCTCAGCCAGGAACACCTAAAAGGGAAAGAGCTGCTCAGAAAGGGGGAATACCTCTTCTCAGAGGTGAGGGTGGGGGATGAGCTCCTGGGAATTCATTGGGGGTACACCTTAAAAACCTTGAGGCTTGAATCCCCATTCTGCCATTAAAGACTTTGAGTTTGCTCCCCACACCCAAAATCGTTTTATGAAGTTGAGCTCTGGAGAAGGATGAGAAGTTCTTGGCAATTACAGGTGCAGGGTCCTGCATGCCTGGATGGACAGGACATTCCAGAGAGCCAAACACCTCTGATAACAGAAACCATCCTCATGCAAATGCTCCTGAGATACATTTCCTGTTTTCTGACTTCAAATAACAAAACACAGAATATTGCTTCGTCAGCATTTGAAATGCAAATACCCTGCACCAGTTCTTCAGCAGGTGGAAAATGATGTCCACCAGTAATTAGACTGGTTTTATATCAGATACCTTTCTCTCCTTCCTCCCAGTTTTCAGGTCTGAGCACATAGGCTGGGTCCCCCACGCTTCTGCAGGAGTTCCCTGAAAATGTGAAAACGAATCCTAGAGGAGTTACGATCTCTGTCTATTTTTATAGGCAGGGGAAATGAGACCTGGAGCAGCAGAGAAGGGTTTTCTAGAGACCACAGAGCAATGAAGTCTCTGCTGGAAGGCAGTGACAGTCCTGATCTTCACACTAACAGCCTGCTGACTCTGTTTTTACAGACAGAATAAATGTGTAAGATTCATCAAAGAGGTCTTTGAAGTTCTCTACCAGACACTATTTACTGAGTAAGCTCAGACGTGTTTTAGCCCCGACAAAAGTTTTATTTACCCTTTTGGCTACTGCTGCATTTCACTTTGTAGCACCAGACAGAGAGTAGAGCCTAGAGCCTCCCTCTGTCTGTGCACTGAATGACCAGAAATGCTCACAGTGCTGATGCTGCAGGCACCCTTTTTACCCTCCTGTTTGTGCTGGGCACTGCTCTCCTGGGGAACTGGGGAATGTGCTGCATTTGTGACCCGTGTGGTGACTTCCAAGGAGCAGGCAGGCAGTGCCAGACCACATAGAGAGGTGGTGGTGGGAGATATCCTCATGGATCTGCCCCTCAACCTCCCAGGATCACACAGATCCTTGGCCACTGAGATCTGCACACCCTGTCCCCTCTATGGGGAAGTGACTCCTGCTCCAAGAAAATGAGGGCACCAGGACTGACACCAACACAGGAAACTTCTGGGTGAGTTTTTGTTGCAGAAAGGCAGAAATGACCCATCCCTTCCACACCCACAATGTGCACTTCAGAGAGATTCAGAAGCTCACAGAGGCTTGGAGAGTCCATGTCAGCATGAAGGCAAAAACAAAGTACAGAATGTGCTTCAATGGAGGCATTCAAGAGTGGAATAAATGAACACCTGAGCAACCTCATCTCATTAGACTTGTTTTGAGGAATGGTTTAGATTAGAAGACCTCCAGAGATCTTTTCCTTCCAATAAAAATGTTTCTATTGTATCAGTGCTCTTGATTTCAGGTTAGTCTGGAATGTAGGTTTGGGATATTCTGGTTTAGCTGTGAGATGCCTCAGCTCTGGTTCCCATGCAAACTGTGGATATGATGAGTAGACACAACACCTTCTAGTGGAAAATTTCCCTGTCCATTGAGTTGGAAGTAGATGGTCTTTAACATCCCTTTCAATCCAAACCATTCTATTTTTCTATTACTTTCAAGTATGAAAGGCCAACACAGGAAATACTTCACCAGTTCAAGAACTGGCTGCAACAATTGCTCCAGATCATTTATCAGGCAAAAACCAGCCCTTTGTCAAAGCACAGTTTCCCCCTTGGAAAGATGTGGGATGTGAGCAATATGATCCATACTCCTTCTCCTTACTGGCTGTGAAAATACAATGGGGAGTCCCCCTGAAACCGTCTCTCACAGCTTTGTTCTGGCACTGAGTAACATGAGTCCCCTCCCAGGGGATATCTGCAATGGGGAAGAACAATCCACAATTCATCAGGATTAATGAATCCACTGAAAACAGGTGGTTCTTGTTTCAAAAGCACAAATTCTTGGCTGTTACAAAATTTGCTTTGGGCTCCAGCACAGATCAGAGCTGGGAAAGAGCAGTTTCTGTTCCCAGCTGGGAACCTGCTGCTCTGGAGAGCAGAGGTGATCCACACTCAGCTTCTCAGCTCATGCTTCCACCTCCCTGCAAAGAGGGACAGCACAGAGACCTTTCCCACCAGCTCTCTGGGGATATTCAGGATCCATCAATCTGCACAGAAGGGGAAGCTGAAGCTCTACCTGGGGCATTCCTGATTCCTGTCCTGTCATGGGCACTCATGAGAGAGCAACTAATGGGACAGGGAGAAGGACAAGGTGAGGAGAAGATGGAGTTCAGGATTCAGCTATGCCAGAGCAAAGATTCTTTGAAGACTTGGAGATTTATCTGCCATTGTGTGGCAGCAGGACCAGGGCAGTGACCTGTACTGGGCACTGGTGAGGCCACACTTCAAATCCTGTATTCAGTTTTGGGTCCATCACTACAAGAAAGACTCTGAGGTGCTGGAGTGTGTCCAGGGAAGGGAACAGAGTTGGGGAAGGGTCTGGAGCCCCAGGAGTGGCTGAGGGAGCTGGGAAAGGGGCTCAGCCTGGAGAAAAGGAGGCTCAGGGGGGACCTTGTGGCTCTCAAAACTCCTTGACAGGAGGGGACAGCCAGGGTGGTCAGGCTCTGCTCCAGTGAACAGGGACAGGACAAGGGAAACAGCCTCAAGTTGTTCCAGGGGAGGTTGAGATGGGATATTAGAAAAATTTTCTTTGCTGGAAAAGTGGTCAGGCATTGGAAGAGGCTGCCCAGGGAAGTGGTGAAGTCACCATCCCTGAAAGTGTTCAAAAAAACACATGGATGTGGCACTTGGGGACAGTTTAGTGGTGGTCATGGCAGTGCTGGGTTAGCAGTTGGATGCAGTAACCTTAGAGGTCTTTTCCAACCTAAATGTTTCCATGTTTTTTCCTAAGTGTCCCTTCAAAGCAGATGTTATTTGTTGCCACACAAAGCTACATGCAAATGCACACAGTGGTGTCCCAGTCCCAATGCTTACCTTGCCAAAACTGCCCTTCCCCAGCATCTTGTGCAGGACAAAATCTTCAATGGTCAGTTTTAACTGCACTTGGTGCTCCTGCTGTTCCTGGGACTGTTCTCCCAAGTCTGACTCTATGAGAGGCTCTCCCTTCACTGTGCCCTCCACTGGAGTCTCCCAGGAGATGCCTTGTGGCTCTGCAACACACATCAAAGCACCCAAATGAACCCCTGGACAGGAGCAGAAAATCCCCAGAACACTCACAGGTGTTCTTTTAGAGGTTTAAAAGGGTATTTCAAACAAATGGAAGTGTGGTGGCCATCTCTAAGTAGATTGGCCCTGCTCCCACTCTGCTTTCTCTCCAGAGGAAATGTTACTCCAGTGGAAACTGCATCTTCTTCAGTAGCTTTTTTAAATTTACAAACCACTTTACAAACTCCTTCATCTGTCTTTCTGTTTTGTGGCATAAAATCCCGAATTTCTGGCCACCTGTCTGTTCCAGTCCTTCTTGCTGCTTGTCATTATGATGTGGTTCCATTTTTTCAATGTCTTTTCAAAACCCCAGGCTAAGCTAGATGAAAAGGCATTTTCATACTGTGTTCCTGCTCTGGATGTGAAGCATTCCAAATCAACCATTCCAGCTGGCCTGGAGTGAAATCACTCAGGGTTTTGTCAATACTCCACTAACCTGGATTTATAAAAACTTTTAAGACATTTTGTCCTTCACTGGATTTATCCCATTACTGTAACTGTCCTAAAATGCTGAACACTACTCAGCAGCCAAACAGACCCACATGTGAAACAGATGTGAAACCACCTGAGGCTTTACTGTTTCACATCATTCATTCACATTGCCAGTTCTACTTGTAGAACAGAACAGAAATAAACACATATGGGGACATCATTTATTTCTCCTTGGGGTCCAAAGTCTCTCATTTATCCTCCTAAACATGTGTTCTTGCAGCATAGAGGGCTGTGACACCTAGATCAGCTCCTGGGTGAGTGAAGTGGAGGTCTATCAGTGTTTTTCAAAGCCACCAGAAGTCAACCTCCACCCAAAAATATGAAATCAGAGAGAAAATTTATTTTGCCATGGTGATCAGAAGGATTACATATATCCTGTTTAGAGCTTGGTAATAAATTCCCCACTCATGTCCAATTAACCACCTACAAACCAAACAACAACAAAGCTGCTGCCCTGTATCACCAGGAGGAATTACCTTTTTTTCCTGTTGTAGATGCTGGCAAAGCCTGAAGTGGTGTCACATCCTTCACAGGAACAGGGAAGCCGATTTCCAGAGGTCCATCCCTGGAGATCTGTTCACTGTCACGCTGGCAGCGAGCCTGGGGCACAGGAAACAGCAAATTTTTGAGCCAAAAGTCACATGCCAAGCTCATGAACAACACAGTGACTTCTTGAGTGTGACTCACAGAAGCCAAGACCTAGAAGAGCTCTTTGCTTATGAGAAGATCAACTAAAAATGCTTGAACTATTTACCTGCTGAGTGCTCTCTATCATTGCCAGAGCTTCAGCCATTAGTTTCTGGTTCACTCCACAAAGATTTGCTACTTTGGTCTGGCACTTGTGGTGGACGTTCATGCCACAGGCTGAAATAAAGAACACGAGCTGTCAGGACAATGGAGGCTGTAAAGGGCTGGGCAGGAGCAAGTGCTGCTGTTGGCCAGGGACAGAGATCAGCCACCTAAAGGGCTCTTGAGATGGCACTCAGGCAGTTTGTTGGCTCCCTATAAGATTATTTTTGTATTTTCTTCTGGCCAGAGGTTGCATTCCACATCCATCAGCATTTGCAGGTACAGGCTCTAAAACTACAAGCCATTATCTCAGAGATAAACTGCAATCACAGAAGAGGATCCTCCCATTGGTTTAGGATTATGAAGACAGTGAAATGTCTCGGGTCTGACAGTGGAAATAGAGCTTACAAGCTCATACTGGGGGCGATTTGGGAGGATAACAGCATCACTGTGATGTTCTTTGTGTCTTTGGGAAGCAACTCATCATCCTTCTGGATCAAACATCTCTCAGTACATGGACAGTTGTCCTCATTCTTGAAGAATGATCCTCCCTGAAGGACAGTCCTGTAGACCACTCCTTCACCCTCCTGGTGAATCCATACTGCTTTTGCAGAGAAGGGCGATAAACGAGATTTGGATTTTCCGACTGCCACCCTCCAAACACAAGGATCCCTCCCAAGCTCAGCTGGAGCCACCTTCTCCAGGGACTCACCATCACACTTCAGCCCCTGCCGTGCCAGGCCCCAGAGGAGGGTGCCACAGTGCTCACAGAAGGTGGGGCTCTTGTAGTTGTAGACTTTGAAGCGGTGGGGCATGTCGATCTTGAACCTCTCCTTGTGGAACTGCAAAGACAAAAGCCAGCCTCAAAACTTGTAATAGTGGTGGGAGTTTTGCACCACTTAATTAGTGGTTTGTTTTAGTCTTCTTTTGTCTTTACTTAGAGCCAGGATGAAAAAATACATGAAGGAAATGGATTTTTTCGTGTTCTGGCTTGGTTGTTTATTAAATCTTAATAAAAAGTACAGAGAGTTTGACAGCACTTCTAGTTACCTCCTAGAAGTGAGGAAAATGGAGGAAGATTCAGTTGCTACAAGGTCTTTTAAAGTTAAACAGTTTAATAGAGAGTTAATATTTATATTATTTATTTTTTTAACTTAATAATTAAATTCTTAGACTTTTAATGTGATATTAACTGATTAACTAGGAATCATTACTTGAAACTTATGAAGAAGAAGGAAGATGAACAATGAAAGAGACATTACTCAAAATTTTTTATTTTGTCCCATACTTATTATTATATTATAAAAACCTTAAATTTAAAACCTTTTATCATGTGAAAGTACACACTTTTATTTAATTAAACACTCGTGATTTTAACTTTATCACTCAAATTTAGAAGTGGAAAACCCACTCCTCATTTCCACCTCTACTCCATGTGGAAAACCAAACTTTTACCACAGAAGTTGGTTTGTCTACCACCCTCTTATCCTCAGGTATGACTGCCAAGCAGAAACTGTCTATCAGGCACACAAACCCAAATTTTGATACACAACTGCAATTCAGAGGGAATTGGGTCATTTCATTCCTGGCCTTGACCAAAGGACTGCTTGTGCCTCATTTACATACCCAGGCTCCTCTAATGCTCAGTGGGAAAACATTGGTACTTTAAAAAATTATTCGGTACTTTTAAAAATTATTCACCTCATCCTGCAATGGATGTCTACATTTGTTGTCATGAATCACTCCTTGGAAGAGCCTGTTGTAATTCTTTTAGTATGAAAGGTGATGACAAAGTTGGTTGCATCTACCCTGGAGATGTCAGAAGAGAAGTGAGAGCAATCTCATCTATAAATAAAAATTGTAGAAGGGGAACAGGAGCCAGGGTGGGACTGAGAGTAAACTGAAGTTGTAGGACACAAGGTAAAGGGAATAGTCCTATCAGGAGTTTAAGACCAGTTTTTGCCTACCAAAAAGAAAAGTTTAGACTAAACTGACATGAGAAAAATAAAGCAAGTAATAGTGGAGCTACCAGATCTCCCAGTGACTGTTTCAGATAAGACAAAATGGGATGTTCAAGCACAAATCTGAAAATTCAGCCTGATGTCCAGCCTAACATTAGATAGTGAAGAGTTTTCTCCAGTAAATCTTCAGCTCATGTCCATGACTTCCCTCTGAGTTATACTTTATGCATCAGAAAAATGTCAGTTCTGATTCAGCAACTGCTTATTCTGCAGCTGCATTTGAGTAAATCTTAAGTAGGAGGTAATGAAATCACTGGGAACATAAAAAGCAAAGGGCACAGATCAAATCACAGAGTCCTTGGCTCAGTAGGACCTCTTGCTTCATCAGAAGTTGCTTTTCAGGGATGTAGGAGAGATCTGAATGACACTGAAGTTTTTTTAGAAGGAATAATAATAAAATAAAACATAAAACACAAAATGTAAAAGAAAATAACAACAACAGTAATAATAATGATAATAATAATAGTAATACCACCTACCATTGTTTCTCTGCTATTGATTGCTGATCCTGTACACTTGGCTATTACTTTATCAATGCACTTCTTATGAATGGCAGCGTTACATTCTGCAACAGCAAATGTGTCATGGTGTTAACAAGGAAATTCCTTAGGAAAAGATTAAGTAAATAATGACAATAAGAAAATAAAACAAAAAGTTTCTTACGTCTGCATTGATATCCTTGTTTATTCAGACCCCTGAAATGAACAGAGCAGTGGTTAATTCTGAGTTGTCTGAAAGCCTCAGTAGAAGAAAGGAGAGGAATAATTATTAAAGAAGGAGAATAAAATTGCTTTGCTTTTTATCACGCTTTGTAGGGATTATTTAATTTCATTATCTTCATTTAATCTAATGGTGGAGTGATTCTCTGGGGTTCTCACAGCCTTTTCAGCACACATTCACATCCTGAATTTCATGCTATCCAAACAGCAAACTGGACCGATGAGAAATGCCTGTGCATTTCCCCAAACCCAAAAATATTTGTAAACAATAAATCTAAAAGCGAGGGGAATTTTCACAGAACTGCAAACCACATCCTTAAAGTGATGCAATAACTCTACATGTATGATGCCAAGGGTCTTACAGGAGGAGCACAGATATTCATCAGGGAATCACAGAATCTTTTAGGCTGGAAAAGGCCTTTAAAATCATCATGTCCAACCATTAACCCAGATCTTCCACATCCAACACTAAACCATGTTCCCAAGTGACACCAGAACTGTTTCCTGGGGTTAAAAGGAGAAGCAGCAGGGGCCATTTTCCATTTACCATACAAACTCGTGGCACACGGAGCAGAAGGTGGGCTGTGGGAAGAAGGTGGCTGTGAACTCGTGACACTTGACATTGTGGATCTTGGCCTGTTTGATGGCTCCCCTGCGCTGGTGCAAGGAGAAGAAGCCTTCAGCCTCACAGTCAGCCAGGTCCTTTGCATCTGGGAGGAGAGGAAAGATGTTTAAGTGCACCCTGTCCTGGTCAGGCACCTTGAGAAAATGCAGTTGCCCAAATACTATGTGACTGAAGCTGATGATTCACTCATGGTAATGAATACTCAAAGAAATATCATTTTATAAACCCACAAAAGTCTCATTTGGATGGTTTTGATCCACCATTCCTACACTAAAATTACTTTAGACTTGAGAGTCTGAGCTCCCTTGACTATTCACAGTGCTGCTTTTGAAATGTAGAACAAAAATTTCCCAAGGAGAGGTGATTTAGACATAAAACTCAACTCTGTGTGGCACTGAAGAAACACAACCTAAAAAGGATGAATTTACATAAAAAATAATAATTACTGATATATGGACACAAACACACGTGTGTGTATATATATATAGAGAGAGAGGGAGAGACATTTAACAGAATCCTTCCTGTGTGTATATACATGTCAGGAAGCAGATATTTATGGCCCTAGGATATTCCTCTTGTTATTTTTCCATGCCAGCACTTGCTTTGCTGTTTGCTGTGCCCTTGCTGTTATTCACAGTTATTTAAACTTTTTGGCAAACAAACCAATACTGACTTCACCTGCAGTTCTACACTGCCTACAAATCTGATATTCACACAGGAGGTCAATCTCTGTTTTGTTTCACTCCTGCAATGCACAGTGAGTTATTGTATTTTTCTTTTTTTTTGCTTTTTGTTAGAGTTGGGATTAAAAGTTTGAGAGATGATATTTTGTGTTTGGACTTAGATATTTACTAATTTTTATTTATATTATAGTGAGTTTTATAGTCTTTTTAGTTAATAAGTTGAAAATGGTGAGGTATTTTATTTTTTATAAATTTTTAAGGGTTAATTTGTTTAATTAAGAACAGATATTTAAATTATTTTTATTTTTAATTTAATAATTAAACACTTGTGACTTGTGGAATTTTTTTATTTAATTAATGAAATTAAATTATTATTAAATTATTATTAAATTAAATTATTATTTGATTATGAAATTAATAAAATTATTTAGATTTATGAAGAAGAAGGTAAAAAAGAAAAATTTTTGTTTTAAAATTTCAATTTTGTTTTTTAGATATTATATTTTAAATTCTTAAATATTAAGTTTTTTTATTATATGATATTACACACTTTTATGTAAGCTATATACTAGTGATTTTAGTTTTATTATTTAATTTTGGAAGGGTTTTTTTATGGCTTTAGGTTAAAAGTAGTGATTTTTTGGGGGTTAGTGTCTGTTAGCACAGAAAGTCTAAAGTTCTCAGTATCTAGGATTTCAACAGTGAGTCACACAGGTCACCTGTGGGAACTGGTCCCCTGTGTGACCTGATGCTGATCTTGATATTTGTAATAAAAACAAAACTTGCATTTTCTATGCTTTGGCCTCCCTAACACCCTGTCACACACAAACAGGAGTCCAATCTATATTAAAGGTAGGGATAGTTAAGAAAATATCAGCGTGGCCATGGCTGCAGTCAGTGCTTCTGTTTCTATAAATGGAAGAGCCTTCCAGATATCTGCACCTCACAGCTTCACCCTACACCTGAGGGTATGAGAATTTTGGCAACAAAGATGGGAGAATAAGACCAAGCATTTGAATTAAACTAATTTCTTTTCAACAAAGCAGAATACAGCCCTTCCAAGGAGAAATTTTCCCTGTGGTCTGCCCTGAGCATCCTCTGTCCCTGTTCCCTGGGAGCAGAGACTGATCCCCAGGCTGTCCCCTCCTGTCAGGGAGTTGTGCAGAGCCACAGGGTCCCCCCGATTCCCTTTTTCTCCAGGCTGAGCCCCTTCCCAGCTCCCCCAGCTGCTCCTGGGGCTCCAGACCCTTCCCCAGCTCTGTTCCCTTCCCTGGACATGTTCCAGCCCCTCCATGTATTTCTTGCAGTACATAAAGCAGAATGATTTCAGGGGGAGCTGCCTCCTTATGTATCTGTTCTGTCTTGTTTAGCTTAATGGGAATATCTGCCATTTAGTGGTAAACCAGCCAAAAAAATCTGCCTTGCAATTCACAGAGGAATAGTCACCGCACAATAAAAATGACTTTTCTGGAGTTTTCGTTTCAGTTATGTTTGTTGTTACGGATCAGTCACTAATAACATAGGCACTGCTTTTAGTGAAGACACCATGTCTGCCCCACAGCCCAGAAATCACAGCTATAAATTAACAAACAGAATCACTTGCCACTTATTTCCAGGAAGTATCTTGCATTCATCAGCATTCGCCCTTGAGGCTTCAGTTCTAGCTGGTTGAGATAAGCAAAAAAAAAAAAAAAGAAAAAAAAGTCCATTAACCAGTCATTCAGAGAAGGAAAAACCATTTCAGATGACTTTCAAGCGATCTCCTTTTCCCAGTGGGAAGTGATGAATAGCAATGAATGCCAATTTTCAGGTTGCTCATACCCATGTGAGGCAACAAGGCAAGGTAGGAGCAACTACAGAGAGAGGAGGGTTGATCACCTCATATCAAACCCTCAGAGCAGCATGATAGGAGAGATGAATGTGATTAAACCACAGAAGATGGAAGCAGCTTTTTAGACACCAAATTAGGACCAGCACTATCTATAGAGAAAACTTGTTCCCAATGGATCCTCCAAGAGAAAAGTGGGAGCAGTTCAAAAAATCCAGCCAGCTTCTGACAGGTGATGCTGAAATCTTTTGGGCACTCAGTTCTGCAAGTCTGACTTCTTTACAGTCAACCTGAGGGATGCTACAAGCTTATTCAGGCATTTTTTGGGGCCTTCCCACTGGACTTGGCAATTTCCACCTACCTGACTCATCATACATAAGTGCATTTGGAGATCTGAATCAACTGGACTATGTATAATGTGGATACTACATTCTAAAGATTTCTGCCAAGATCTTTCTTGCTTGGACTACCAGGGAACACAGCCTTACATTTAGCATTCTTCTGAAAACTGTTCAAATTTATGCCACAGTAACTTCAGCGATTTTTAAGGAGTTGCTCTGACATAACTCTGAACTCAGGCAGCTGTGAATCAGCTACATGATATTAGATAAAAATTTTAAAGCTGTTTCCCCAGAGAACATAAAGTAACTCATGTTCAGCCAGTCATACTAACATTTGTTCCCAGCGGGTTTCCTCAGCAAAGATTAATACGTGGGCACAGCTCACCTGAAGCAGGATCCTCACTAGCACAGGGCAGGTTTCAATTAAAATAAAAGTGCCAAGCTCTTCTCTTCTGACAAGTCTCTCCCTCAAGTCACACCCAAGTAGTCTCAAAACATTATTCCAACCGTTCCCACTGTGCTGCTGGTGACAGCCACAGCCTGGCACGGACACAAGGACATCCCCTTACCCTGCAGCAGCTCCCCAGCACATCCTGCAGAACAAGAGAGTGATGCTCACCCATATCTCTGTCTTCCCATTGCTCTTTTTGCACCTCTCTGCCAGCACCTTGAGCTCCACTGTGGTCTCTGAGACCATTTCAGCACTTTTGTCCTTGACCACAATGTGCATGACCCGGCCATTGTTGATGTGGGCATCAAAAGTGCTGTTCCAGGGTGGGTACATGGTGGGCTTCTTCTGCACATACACCTGGCCATTCTCTGTCGAGAGGGAGAATACAAATCCATGAGACCAAATACAGACACCTACCATAAAAAAGGTAATTTACACCCTTGACTTCATCAGTTCTGTTGAGGAGATCTCTAATGGTAACTCCACCACCATAAATACCACTTCTAATCAGGTGAATCCCAGACAACTGTCTTGTTTATCATCTGTCCCAAGGCACTGCAAAATGAGACAGCTTTGCTTCAAACCCCCCAAAAGCTGGGTGCACTTTGGGATTAATGCCAGCCCAGTAGCCAACTAAGGGATCTTAAAACACGAACTCTTTCAGACCTGTAACCATCCTACAAGGATGTAGAGTTTTCAACAAAGCAAACTCTCCCTAATGCTTTAATTCCTCTTCCTTCACAGTATCTTAATATGGTGATGGGTTAAAAAAACGGGTATCTCTGAGGTTTGCAAAAGGTTCTCTCTTAACTGGGTCTCTCTGAAAAGAGTCTCAGTCAGATTTATTTATCTCACAGAGCCGGTTTTACTTCATGCAGCCCTATAAAAGTCTTGCATGCTTACTCAAGGTAAATTCTGTATCACAGTTACTCACTGCAAATGTTCAGCCCATCAAACGCTGAAGCTGAAGGAATAAGAGAAAAAAAACAGCAGACCTGTGACCCCTGTCTAAAGACCCTGATCCTATTTCCAATAATTCCAGATGGAAAAGAACACACAGCTGACAGCCTGGAAGGTGACATGTGATGAAGAAAATTTTTTCCCTAAATGAGACGACTAATTCACAAAAAATCAGAGACAAAAATGAGACATAAACTTTCCAGCATCCCGGAAAACAGAAATCTCAGTAAAGGACCATTATTTCTTTGCTGCATCAGTGAAAAAGCCACAGATGTGAAACACAGCAGTTGCAAAACAAGTGCTTTCATTTGTGCTGCACTCCAGGACACCGGGCTTAAACAAACAAACCCTGGAATGTGAATGAACTGCCCGATGCATGGGATCAGACAGTCACCCCTGGTGCGTCCCCGCTGACGGCGCTGGAATTCTGCCAGGGATTTATCTAACCCCGGGTTCCTGAAAAACGAAATAGCAACTCTCTTTCCCGGGGAGCAGCTTCCACTGTAGCTGGGGGAGCTTTTCCTGGAGGCTTTGCTGAGTTCAAACATGGAGCAGGATCCTTCATGAAGCAAATGTCACCAAGGCAGGTGGCAAAATGGCAACTGGCCAGGTGGCTTGTGAAGGCAGGAGCCACTTTTAAAGGGCAGACTCTTTTTATATCTCAGAGGCACATATAATTTCTGAAATATTTTGTCATCGATTATAAATTGCTGTAACACCTCCAACTGTATGGAGGTGTGGTTTGGGGTTTTTGGGTATTTTTCGGTTTGGTTTTTTTTTTTTTTCAGATTGTATTATAATGTGACAGGGTCCCTTTTACAAAATAAGCAAGTGGAAAAATGTAAAAGGCTGCCCAAGATCTACCCAGAATTTCTGAAATTCTTCACTGTGGTCTTGCTGTGACATCCCTATGTCCATAGAGGATGTTCATCACTCCCAGGTCCCTGGGGACCTCTGTGCCAATGACCTTTTCATTATGGCTGGTTGACAAGGGACAGCCTTTGGCATGAACCCAAGGTCAAACTCCCCATTTTTGGAAACCAAACACATTTTTCATCTACCACTGTTCTGTTTGCAAAAACCCAACCAACCAAAAACAAAACCAAAAAAACCCCACACTTTGCCAGTGCTAAACATAGAACCACAGAATGGTTTAAGTTGGAAGGGACCTTAAAAACCATCCAGTTCCATCCCCCTGCCACGGGCAGGGACAATTTCCACTATCCCACCTTGCTCCAAGCCCTGTCCAACCTGGCCTTGAACACTTAGGCATGTCCTGCCCTGCTCAGCAATCATTTCAACCCTGAAAAACTTCTTCATGGCCAAAAGTCAGAGCACAAGGCTGGTGGTCAGGATGATTTGCATCTCTCACCAGCTGTGCAGCTGGTCCACTCCCACTCCTTGGTCATGCCAAAATTTTAGCGAAAATTTTCAGCCAAAATTTGTATAGAGGGGAGATAGACATATAGATCTATATATACATTTTTTAATCCCATTACAACTGAGTAGCAAGTGCTTTATCAAACCAGGCAGCTGGAGAGCAAATTACGACCAAAAAGAAAAATAATCATCAAGCAGGGATAAGACAGTTTATGGCAGTGTTGGATTAACAGCTGGACTTGATGGTCTTGGAGGTCTTTCCCAATCTTAATGATTCCATGATTCTACCTCAAATATATTTAATTACTGTTTGTCTGGAGACCTTTTGCCTTCTTGAAGCCTGTTAGAGCACAACAGCTCCTTGGGATGGTCACACTGAGAGCATTCCTGGCTTTAGAGTCAGGCTCATCTCCCTGCATGTCAGACACAGACCTGGACCTCTGAGTGGTCTGTCTGGTCAGGGGAGAGCACGGGGCTTTTCCAGGCTGTGATTCACCACACTCATCAGGGACGTGTTCCTCAGGCTGGGATTGCTCACACATCAGAATCTGGGAATTACAGGGTGGATGGATTCCGTGGTGGCCTCACTTTTCTCAGTCCCCTTAAGGTAAAGTTGGCCATCCACATATTTCAGCACCCTCCAGCAGCAGATTAACAATCCCACCCTAGGAAGGGAGTCTGAGGTGAATCAGTCCCAGGAGGTTCACTGATGAGTCCATCTGGCTATCCCACCATGCTCTGAGCCATCACCTGATGAAATTACATCCCAGTAACAGAAATCTCCTAATAGCAGAAAGTCTCTTAAGTCTCTTTTCCTACACTCAGCCCTCACTAATGGAGAAAAGTTCCCTCAAACACAATTTTTTATTTCTCGTTGGCAGAGGATTAATTATAATAATAGCTAAAATAATTATAATTATTACAGTAATAATTAAAATAACTATAATTATTATAATAATTATGATTATTGAATATGAAGAGCACAAAAATTACATCCCTTAGAAAATACTTTTGTGTTTGTTGGATACCAGAAAACACTTTCAGCTCTGTGTCAGACAAATAAATATAGGTCTGTTCTGACCAAATTGATTTTATTCACTTTTGAACTGACACAGATTTCAATTTGAGTTATGGCTTTCAAAAGCCTCATTAAAGAAAACAGGCAAGCTCTGCACAGAGCTAAAACAGAACATATTTTCTGATAAAAATGAGATCTTGGAGATACCTTGTCATGCAGCATTTTCTTTCCTTTTGAATTTGCTGTTCACCACGTCTTCCATTATTATTTTAAGTATCATTTAAAGCAAGACAAAGTTCAATGTGATAAATGCTGACTCTTGAACAAAAAATGAACCCCAGTGAAATACTGAACTATTTTAAAATTCTAATTTTTTTAAACTACTTTAACATCCTCTGGGGATTACAGCCATGGGGATTCTCAATAAATAGGGATTTCTGAGTGGATTTCATTTTTCAAAGAATCACAGCAGTCATATTAGAAATTTATCAAAGATTTAAGCTAAATATCAGCCAATATGAGTAATTCCCTAACCTGAAGGTCTTGCTCTTCATGATTCTTCAAAAGCACAACTGGAGAACTTTTTATCCTTTCACCGGAATTATTTTCATGCATAAGACATACAATAAATGTTTTCCAAAGGAGGACTCGTCAGTGTTGCTCAATCAGGATTAATGTGCAATCCATAGATCCAGACACAGCAAGGAGGTCTCATTTTCAAGCCTTTTACACAGCACAGTAATTATACAGAGAACTTAACTCTCTCTGCAGAGACTGGGCTGTTTGAGTGGGTTTTTTTTTTTATTTTTTTAATTTAAATTATGGGAGTGGCTGCGTCTACCAGTTTTCCCCCCAAGAAGTGATTAACAAAGATGGCTCTGCCAGAATATTTTAGCACACTCAGATTTCACCTATCTGGAGTCCCACTGACAAACCAACAACTGCTCGTGGAAGGGTGAAACCAAATACAGCTCAGCTCATCTGCTCTGTCACATGCTGAGGCTTGTAATGCAGCTGATAATATCCTCAAATTGAAGACACAGATTTGTTTGGCAGCATCTTAAAATCAGATTGCCTTGCAGACCATGCCAAGCCCAAACTTGCACTATGCTGGGACACACAAAGGGCTTCACAAATCTTTATATAGTGGAGCTGGAAATGGATGATCTTTGAGGTCTCTTCCATGCTATTTTATAGTTCATTCTATGATTTATCAGTGTGTTACCTACACAGAGGAAATGACACAGAAAAGCACAGACATGACTGATAAATCTTAACCCCACCCCACTTACCTGACTCCACGGCTTCTTTAACCATCACGGCGCAGTAGGGGTTAATCACCTCCCCCTGGGATGGCAGGTAAGGGCCACTGTCATAGTTGGACAGACCAATACGCAGGAAGGGAGACATGACAAGTCCTGTGCCAAACAAAAGACAGGAGACACTCGGGAGAGAGTCTAAAAATTCCGCTGGTTTTAACCAGCCCTTATCTCCGTTGGACAGCCGCTAGTTATCCATCCAGCTGGAGCCTCTCTGACTTCCTTCCACGGACTGACCCAGCGCTGCTGGACGTGCCCAAGGTACTGAAACTCAGCTGTGGGCTTAACCACGGAGCTGAACTCATCCCAGGGCTGGAAAAACCCACAAGAGCAGCTCTGAGCACCGATGACTTCACACCGACTGCCGGGAATGAGGACGACAATGCACAGGAGTCAGAAATCAGAGCTTTCTTGGCTTGGGATAAACCTCTGCTGTAATTTATGTTGAGTCACATCAAGAACCTGAATGCTATGTGAATAGAGAGGGGTTTGGGAACACTGCTGGAAGCCTGCAAGCTGAATATGAAACTGTGAAATAACTGTGCACTATTTATATACGGCAGGGAAAGGAGCTCAGGCTTTCCTGGGTGCTGAACCATATTCACAAGTGAAGCTATAAAGAGAAAGTTCAGCTCATATGAACCACACTGTATAGACAGTGAAACAAAATACCCCACCAGAAAAAACAGCACCTCGGGATTTATTTTAAGCAGCTGAAAGCTGAAACAAATACAATCATGATGCCAGGAAACACTACAAAACCTTTGGGCTGAAACACCGCAAAACTTTCTCTGCAAGGTCTTTCAAAGCCTTCAGAGAGAAGGTTTAATGAAACCAGAAATTATTAACTGCTGTAGCTAGTGCACATCATTGTACCATCTGGGCCCAAAACTGGGATTTACCACCCAACTTTTGTCTCATCATCTGAGCTTGTCAATCTTGGCTGTTCTTCCAGCCAACAGGGAGCAAGAGGCACTTTGAACTCAGCTGCAGATGTCTGTCTTGGACCACCAGAGTTAAAAGACATCAGTGCTACCACCAGCTGTTATCTGTCAAATATATTGACAATGACACCTTGTTCAAGCACAACAGCAAAAGGATGAATGACTTCTGGTGTGGGATGCAGCCAAGTCTCTTCTGCATTTTGCACATAAAAATGATCTTTCTGAAGGGAAGCTTCTCTAGCTTCACATGGAAGAAGTTCCAGGTTCTTTGCTGGGAATAGCATTTCCTTACCTGTAAATGGTATTTTCCTGACAGATATGTTCAGTCTCTGAGAGGGGCTTCTCTTTTCATCACTGTTGTGGGCAATATGGAATGGTTTTTCTCAGCTGAAGGAATAACTGCTCCTCTGGCCAGGCTGACTTCAAAACCTGCCTCTCTGTTCAAGGACACAGGAGGGAAGACCATCAAGGAGAGAGGAAAACTTGAGGAACTGAGATGTAGCCCTTTGCTTGAGTGTCTTCTCTCTTCCCCAGCAGTGTGCAGGGATGAGTTTCCATCAGCCCCTTGTACAAAAGTCTGGGGCTGCTACAAAACCCAGAATAACTTTTCATCAGCACATGGCCAGGTTGCAGCAGGTTGTTCCACTTGTATCCTGGATCTGATAAGATCTTCTCCTTCCTCCTGTTTTATAAAACAAAGACAAACAGCTGCAGTTATTACTGGGACTGGAACACCAAATCTTCTGGCTGAGTATTCACACGCACTGAGCACTCACATTCCAACATTTTCCGACACAGATGGCTCATGAAGCCAACTGTCCATGTTCTCTGACAAAGAATTTGCCTTCCCAGAAAGTTTCCCTAAATTTACTACTCTACATCAGGCCAATTTATACAATAAACAGCATCTGAAGACTCTCCTGGATGTGTTAGCCAACAGTCAGGCTGAGTTTTCAGGAAAAGAGCAAAAAGTCACCAATTCTCTTGGATACTGCACTGAAAAGAGGAAAAAACCATCATGTTTCTGGGGAAGAGGGGATGGGGCAGAGAAAGAGAAAAACGTCCTGTGACTCATGTCTGTTGTGTGTCTCTAGGAATGCAGATGTCATGGATCTCTGCACGTGGCATTGCCAGGAAAACATCATTGCCAGGAAAGCTCCCAGAAGCTGGTGGGAAAGGCAAAGCACCAGGTGGGGCTGGATACAGGCAATCAGGACAATCCTGTTCTCCTCCGGATGAGGGTTTCACATTAGCCAAGTGCCTGATGAAGCTGCTTTGGAGAGCCACTTGCATTTAGATAGATCCTCAAGCACAGACAGACCTATGGCACTGCAGAGAAGTACAGTGAGTGGGTTGTGAGTGCTCCATGGCAAGAAAAGGCTAAAAGATCTGACTCAACTGTCAGAAGCAGAGAAACCTGATCAATTTAAGAAGGGAAAAATCTCTTCAGTGGAAAAATAGATATTTTCCCTCTCTGTGTGATGCAGACATTTATTACTACTTAGACATTTCCTTTGTTTCAAAAAACAAGAAGCCTATGAAGTCTAAAGACAAAAGGGAAAATAAATCAAAGGATCTCTGGCAGCAGAAGAGAAATCCAAGGAGCTGTATATTCTGTAGCATCAGTGTGGAAAGCTAAAGATGGCCAAAGGCTAAAACCAACAGCCAAAACATCTTCTTTGAACCTCTGTGTGTGCACAAAAATGTCCTTTCTGCTTCTATCATACTCCACCAATTCTGGTCACTGCTGGGAAAGGGAAAATTATGATCCTCTTTCAAATTCCTAATTCCTACACCTCTGGCTTTAGGAACTTCTTGTTCCACAAGCAGGAGCAGGAGGAAGTGCAAGGGGTTAAGCATTCCCTTACCAGGACTTTCCAAATTCACCTTCAAAAGCTCAGAGTGCCAGTCAGAATTATTAGTCAGTATGCTGGGCATCTAAGCACATGAATGTTGCTAAAAGAATCCAAACATATTTTGATGGCTCCTCAGCAATAAAATGTGGTAACACTATTGACTCAGGTACTAAAGAAATAAAATTAGGACTAAACATTTGAGCTGAAATTCATCACACTTCAATTAAATCCATGTATTCACAACATAGGCAGAACTGTGAAAGCACCCTGTCCTGCTAAATACTCCTACCACTGCTACAAAAATCACTGCTGGGATGTGCTACAAGACACCTGTTCAGGTCTATGGATCAGGTCCCTGAGCAGTGACATTTAAAACTTTCCTTCATCTTAAATTCTGGATGTTCCCTCCCTCCCCTCCAGTGCAACACTTCATTTTGGCCCTGTGCAATCAAGCACTTCCTGATCAGGTATCCCAGAGATGTTGTGGAATCTTCACTCTTGAAATATTCAAAAGCCATCTGGGCATGATCCAGGGCAGCTCCTGGTGTCCCTGCTTGGGCAGGAGAGGGGGACAAGAAGAGGTCACTTCAAAGCTCAAGCAGCCTTGAAAACAGCACAGTGGGTCTGTGAAGAAAAAGTGGGATAGATCTCACCAAGACCCAGATGTCTGCAGCATCTGCATCCCCATGTCAGGCAGTCACCTGGGCTCCTGAGAGAGGCACAGACAGAAATTGGCACCTTCAGATCCTGAGCTGGAACCACCAATGTGAGATTTCCCTCCTTTGGGAGCCAGTGGGAATTCGTGGGGATGAGCTGTTCACATGAAGCACCTTCACTGCAAGATCTGGTTCTGATCAGATTCCTCCAACCATGAAAATTTCAATGGATCCCCTCAATGTATCAAATCTGAAAGACTTCACACAAACCAGCTGACGACAGGAGATGCTCTGCAGCCTCCAGCAAACAGGTGAGAATTTTCTACCAGCTGCAAAAGCACGTGGGTTTGGCACAGTGAGAGTCAGCACTGATAAACAGCTGCCCTTCTAAGCCTTGCAAGGGCTGGCTCAAGCTTGCTAAAACCAGAGTTTACTGCTGTACCAGCCTCGTGTGAGCACTCTGCTCTGGGGTGGATTTCTTTACTCTGCCCAATAAATCAGACAGATAACTGGTTTCCTGCTTCTCTCCACTGTCTTTCCTGAAACCACCTTGGCTTTGGCCCAAACATCTGTTTTCCAGGTCAGATTTCCAGCGTTTGCCACTACAGGACTGTTACTTGGCTGGCATCCATGGCCATAAACAATTAAGCAACAATACAAAACTCAGCTCCAGCACGGCTCACTGTAATAGCAGCAGTTTAATTTAACACCAGAAACAGCTGCACTGGATAAGGAGAGTGTCTGCTTAATTTCCCAGTGGAAAGGACACTGTGAGGTATCTGAAAACCAAGGATGAAATGCAGCTTTCTGTAAGAGGCCACCTGCAACCTCTCCTACAGTGAAACATTAAATACGGTGTAATTTGGGTTCAGCAATGCTGCACCCCACTTTGCTGGCACAGGGGAGCTCTGCCCACTCTGGAGAATAATGCAACATATGGAAATCATTCCCAGATCATATTAGGAAGTAACAAACTACTTAACATCCTTAATCAATTGTGGTTAAGTAGAGAAGAAAAAATGAGCTCCCAGTCAGCAGAAGATCTGATGGAGGACAGCTGCCTGTGATGGGATTTGTGCTTTTGCCTTTCACTGACTGAAAATGGATGCATGTATGACACAGTAAAGATGGAAATTTACTGAACAAGGGCCAACTAAAAAGAGAAATGTTTCTGGATTTGAGATGCTGCTTTCCTAATGTCATCAAACTGTCATTTTCTCAAGGTCAGAGGGAACATTTCCTGCTCTCTCTACTTTTTTTTTTTTTTCTACTTTGCAAAACTGCTTGCAAAATGAGTTCATAATCTCCAGATCAGCATCACTAAGAAGGAAAGGATCCAGGAGTTATAACTGGAGGGTATGAACTTTCTTTCACCCTCTTTCCAAGGCAACTCCCAGCAAAAAAGGCAGGTCCTGCCCCTGCAGAGATCTGTTTGTAAGGGCTGGTGGGGTCCTGCACAGGAGCATTACACACCTCAAGGCCGTCCTGCAGATTTCAAGAGCAACACTGAACACCAGCAGTGATGGCTGAAGTCCTTTTCTCCATCCCCTGACTCCTCATATCCCACAGACCAAACAGGAGGGAATGGGGATCTAAACAATTCCCCTGAGTGACTCATTTTGGGTGTCCCTGTAAGCTGTTGTTTCAAAGGAGATCAAACCAGCCTGCTCATGAAGAAGTTCAGAACCCCTCTGGGTGCCATCCAACATTTCTCTCACTTTCCTTTGACAAGAGGAGGAAAAAGAGGGGAATTTGGAGCCCTTTGATTTTTCCCCCCTCTCTGTAGTCAGCCACCCCATCTTCAACATCTCACAAAGGTGGAGGAGGGAGAGAGTGAGGCAAGCCAGGACCAGCAGTCTCTGATGGATTGGTACAATACCAGACTCCAGGCAACTGAAGAACCTCCCAAAAGTTCCTGGAACCACTTGATTTCAAAACAGAGGTGATGCTCCCCACAAAAACCCTTCCCCACTTGCAGACACAGAAGACCTGGGCAAAGCATTTCTTCCTCCTCTGGAAATGAGGCTTGTAGACTTTTCTAGGACCAGAGCCAGGCACAGGGATGGGCATTTCTCTTTAAAACCCTCTGGGATGTCTTGTGAAGCTGAGTTTAGAGTGAGAGGTGTACATTGGTAACAGGATCTATCTCCTATATATCCCCTACAAACTCTGTCTGGACTCTGCTGAGCTCAGGGCTTTTCTTTTGTTGCATTTGTGGTGCACAAGGCAAGACCAGAGCCTCAGGTCTATTTTCAGATCTAAAACATGATTAAGCCACAGTGGAGTTAACCCATGTGAACAGATTTACAGCTGTAGAAGGGTTGGTGTCCATCCCACTGGAGAGTTGCAGTAAAGAGCTGCTGGGAATGCCAGTGGTCACTACATTCATGCATGGACTCTAGGATGGAATCCTCAACCTTTCTAGAGACACATGTACATCTGGGCCTTAAAAACAGGGAATTTGTGCTCTGCTATCCCCTTGGGTCTCCACACAACAATTCCTCCAACCTGACCTAAATGCAGGCTGTTCCCCAGGATTTTGCTCAGCTTTTCACCCCTCCCATCACACTGCAGCTTCCCAGTCTCCTCCAGCACAGCCTGATGTCTCTTTAGAGAAAATTTCTCTCAAAGCAACCTCTCTTTTCTCTGCCTAACCAGCGAGTTTATGAGTTTACAGATGCACCCATCCCCTGTTCTGACTGACCCAGCAGGGATGCAGAGCCTGTCCTAAGGAGTGATGATGATGATGATGATGATGATTGATGGTGATGATGGGGGTGGTGTGCAGAAACTGCCTTTTGGTTGGGATAAAGAAGCTGGGGGATCATAGCCTGGCTGCCTGTGAGGAGATTAAGGGTGGATTCACAGGAATGTACAGAGACAACTGCACTGCACACGTGGGCTGCCCCCAGAACACCCAGTACAGAGATATTAACATTTGTAGGGGTGCATCTTCCCCTCCTAAAGAGAACATTTCAAATAAACCCAAACCCCTCCTGGAACTGTTGTTTTTACCCCATGATTACATAAAGATGGCCAAGGTCAGTCCTAGCACTGATGTTCAGCTGTCCAGTGAAAAGGACCCAGATTTTAGGGTTTGATCCAGGAGAAGATGCATTTGTGTCTAACAGTGATGACAGCTTGGAGAGACACTGAAAAGCATTTGGGTG